AAGGAAGGAAGGAAGGAAGGAAGGAAGGAAGGAAGGAAGGAAGGAAGGAAGAAAGAGTGTGAAGTTCTTGGTACTCTTAGAGCTTGGTTGCTTTCTTGCAGACGTTTCATTACCCAGCCAGGTAACATCACCAGTGCTAGAAGAGAGTGGAGTTTATAAACAGAGAGCGAACCCCAGTCCCTTCGAGCATTGATGATGGTCACCTAGTTGGATCGTGAAACGCCTGCAAGAAAACAAACAAGCCCAGAGAACGCCCAGCACCCCAAAGAAAGCAATCCAATTGGAGGTGTGGTAGCAGACACCAAGGAAAAGTCGTGGGCCCCAGAAATGTGGATCGAAATAGCAACGCCAGGGGCTGTGCCGTGGCTACTCAATCTCTAAAGTGGTGTTTTCCTTCCGGTGAGTGAAAGGATTTGTCGCCTGGCAGGTGTAACTCCCCGACTGAATGTTCTTGAGAAGAACTTCGGCTTTCTCGCTGAACTCCTTCCCGTTGCGGAACCAGCGATACTCCGCTTCGGGAAAAGAGCTGGCTTTGCAGTTGAGTCTCCGGTTGGTCGGATGGGTGAGAAATTTCGCAGTCATCTTGATCACAGGGGGGTCTGGACCATCTGTAGGACGTAATTTATGGAGAGGTTGAGGGCTTGTAAGCAGTTGGTCATCGTGCCTTTTCTCCTTCAGAGCCTTAGACATCCTCCCAGAGAATTTATATATATATATATGGCTAGTAATAGAGCTAAAAATATCCATGCTGTATCGAAATAACCACGATCACCAAGAGGAAGTTTAAAACGTTTAAAAGCAATTAAAAGTTTAAAAGCAATTAAAACATTGTTAAAAATATTACAGGCAACCAAGCTTTTGTCAGGGTCCGCCTTATCAACCCTGATGATGTCGGGAGAGCCCGACGAAAGCTTGGTTGCCTGTAATATTTTTAACAATGTTTTAATTGCTTTTAAACTGACGAATGTGACTTCGTCGAAACGTCGCCAAGACACTGCCAATTTTACGCGGGAGAAAACCCGAATATCCAAAGACCTATATATATATAATATTTGATAATATGGTGACCAAAACTGCATCCAGTTTTGCTCACCATATTACAAAAAAGAGGTTGAGACTCTGGAAAGAGGGCAGAGAAGAGCAACAAAGACGATTTGGGGACTGGAGGCTAAAACATATGAAGAACGGTTGCAGGAACTGGGCATGGCTAGTCTAGTGAAGAGAAGGACCAGGGGCAACATGACAGCAGTGCCCCAATATTTGAGGGGCAGCTGCAAACAAGAGGGGGTCAGCCTATTCTCCAAAGCACCAGGAGGCAAGGCAAGAAACAATGGATGGAAACTAATCGAGGAGAGAAGCAACCTAGAACTAAGGAGAAACTTCCTGATAGTGAGAATAATTAATCAGCGGAATGACTTGCCTCCAGACGTTGTGGCTGCTCCCATCCTGGAGATTTTAAAGAAGGGATTGGACTACCATTTGAAATGGTATAGCAATAGTACTTAAATACCGCTTCATAGTGCTATACAGCACTCTCTGAGCAGTTTACAAATGTCACCATATTGCCCTCAACAATCTGGGTCCTCATTTTACCGAACCTCAGAAGGATGGAAGGCTGAGTCAACCTTGAACCAGTGAGGATCGAATTGCTGGCAGTCGGCAGAATTAGCCTCCAGTACTGCATTCTAACCACTCTGCCACCACGGTTCTAAATCGAGTTTGCTGCTTGAGCAGGGGGCTGGACTAGAAGACCTCCAAGGTCCCTTCCAACTCTGTTATTCTGTATTTTGTATTCTTAGGAGCTCACTCCCGTACATACCAGTATGCAATATATGGCAGATAACCATCTCTTAGGAATAGAATAGAATAGAATAGAATAGAATAGAATAGAATAGAATAGAATAGAATAGAATAGAATAGAATAGAAAAGAATGAAGTAGAAGAATAGAATAGAATAGAATAGAATAGAATAGAATAGAATAGAATAGAATAGAATAGAATAGAATAGAATAGAATAATGGAATGAAGTAGAAGAATAGAATAGAATAGAATAGAATAGAATAGAATAGAAGAGAAGAGAAGAGAAGAGAAGAGAAGAGAAGAGAGAATAGAAGAGAGAATAGAAGAGAATAAATAGAGAAATGAAGAATAGAGTAGAGTAGAGTAGAGTAGAGTAGAGTAGAGTAGAGTAGAGTAGAGTAGAATAGAATAGGAAGGGACCTTGGAGGTCTTCTAGTCCAGCCCCCTGCTCAGGCAGAAAACTCTATATCGTTTCAGACAACTGGTTGTCCCGTCTCTTCTTAAAAACTTCCAGAAGAAGCTGACCATCATCGGAAGTGAATACTCACAGATCACAGAAATGGTGGTGGTGTCACTCCTTTGAGCAGATAAAGGATTGGAAATGTGACATTGATATGCGCCAGCATCTTTACGGAGAACGGGCTGTATGGCGAGAGTCTGGTTATTATTGGACAGCTGGATCCGGAGGCAGGAGCTGAGGGCTTTCCCATTCCTCAGCCAGCTGATATTTGCAGATCTTACAGTTGTGTCACACTTGAGATGGACCGAATCCATATTCTCTCGGAAAAGCTGGACGATGGACATGCTCGGCTTGGGCAGTAAGCTCGGAGCTGAAAGAGACCGAAAATCGCCACCGTGAGCATTGGCACATGCCTGATCAAAGCCTCGAAATCTGACCTCCGGTGGAATACAGGTAGTCCTCAACCTACGACCACAATTGAGCCCCAAATGTGGACTTCAACTCCCAGAATTCCTGAGCCAGCCATGCTGAGGGGAAAAGGAGAGGTTTCCATGCTGAGCCATGGTGGCTCAGGAATTCTGGGAGTTGAAGTCCACCAGTCATAAAAGAGCCAAGGTTGCCTACCCCTGATTTACTAGACTATTTCAGTCAATTCCATGAGGCATAAACACTAGTAGAGGTGGGATAAAAATCAAATAAAAAATCTGATAGCATCTGGGAGCAAGGTTTCCAAACAAGACTTGACTATCTGTGTCTCACAACTCTCTTTCAAATGCTAAAGACTTTCCCCTTTCTAACTGCCTAGTGATTCCCAGAATTATGAGAGACCATGAGTTCAAGTCCGGCCTTAACCATGAAATCCAGTTGGGTGACGTTGGGCCAATCACCAGGAGACAGTGAATTCTAGTCCCGCCTTAGGCATGAAAGCCAGTTGGGTGCCTTTGGGCCAATCACCAGGAGACTAGGAGTTCTAGTCCTGCCTTAGGCACGAAAGCCAGATGGGTGACTTTGGGCCAATCACCAGGAGACAAGGAGTTCTAGTCCCGCCTTAGGCATGAAAGCCAGTTGGGTGACTTTGGGCCAATCACCAGGAGATGGTGAGTTCTAGTCCTGCCTTAGGCATGAAAGCCAGCTGAGTGACTTTGGGCCAATCACCAGGAGACGGTGAGTTCTAGTCCCACCTCAGGTATGAAAGCCAGCTGAGTGACTTTGGGCCAATCACCAGGAGATGGTGCATTCTAGTCCCGCCTTAGGCCTGAAAGCCAGTTGGGTGACTTTGGGCCAGTCACCAGGAGACGGTGAGTTCTAGTCCCGGCTTAGCTGGGTAACTTTGGGCCAATCCCTCTCTCTCTCAGCCCAACCCACCACACAAGGCTGTTATTATAGGGAAAATAGGAAGACGAAGGTGTATTAAGATATGTTCGCCGCCTTGGGTTGTTTGTAAAAATAATAAAGGTGGAATATAAATAAATAAATTATTGGGTATTATTTGAGGTTTGGGATATGAAGGGAACCGTCAACCGTCAACCAGATGTGAGCAAGTGCATTTTTACCGATGGGGACAAAGAGAAAAGTGGTTTACAGAGGGGGGCATCCGAAGCCAGCTGAAGGGGAAGGGAAGAGAAGGAACATACCTAGAACCTCTATGTTGAGGTCTCCTCTTCCATGGACCGAAGGTCCATCTTTGGTCACTGTGTAGGTTCCAGAGTCATCCTGCTTCAGATTGTCCACGAGGAGAGAGCAGTTTTTATCTGCAGTTTCTCGCCCGGTGTAGGCAGGCCCAAAGACGTTCCCACTTAAAGGAGCCAGGTAGACGGTGACGATCAAGTTTTCTTTAATCTCCGTCCCGCGATACCAGTTGCAAATAAAGAAGGCAGTCGGGGCAGAGCCGGTGGTTAAATTGACTCCCTGCCCTTCGATGGCATTGGAGGGGCTCATGAAAACGGGGAGATTGTACTGGGTTACCTGGGCATGAGTCAACAGGAAATTAGAGCTGAGGATAAAAACTATAACACGGAGGGAGGGAAAAAGAAGAAACGTTTGATCAAAATATTCATTCTATCCAAGCTACATTTAACAAATATATCCTGTATGGAAGGACCCTTATCTGGCCCTGCCTTCCTTTTCAGTTCTCTCCATTCTTTCATTAACTGTAGGCGACGCCCGGATTATTGCATGTACAGTTCTCGATGTACATCTGTAACTGAGCTCAAAATTTCTGTTGCTAAACGAGTCAGTTGTAAAGTGAGTTTTGCCCCATTTTACGAGCTCTCTTGCCGCCGTTGTTAAGTGAATCACTGCAGTTATTAAGTTAGTAACGTTCCTGCTTGAGCAGGGGGTTGGACTAGAAGACCTCCAAGGTCCCTTCCAGCTTCTATTCTATTCTATTCTATTCTATTCTATTCTATTCTATTCTAGTCTAGTCTAGTCTAGTCTAGTCTAGTCTAGTCTCTCAATTTTCCCTGTACCCTGTCAAGCTTTGATTAGAGAGGGGAAGATTTCAGCCTATCTCTGTGAGAAGACCAGAAGAGAAGAGCAGAAATGCATAGAATGTCAACCAACATCCATTGTCATCAGACACTACAAGACAAGAGATAAGAAGAAATCTAAGTCTCTTCTGAATGGGTGGCCCTGAAGGAGAATGCTAAGGGTTTGAGAATGGGTAGAAATAACAGAATAACAGAGTTGGAAGGGACCTTGGAGGTCTTCTAGTCCAACTCTCTGCTGAAGCAGGAGACCCTATACCCATTTCAGACAAGGGGCTGTCCATTCTCTTCTTAAAAGCCTCCAGTGATGCAGCACCCACAACTTCTGGAGGCAAGCCCTTCCACTGGTTAATTGTTCTGACTGCCAGGAAATTTCTCCTTAGTTCTAGGTTGCTTCTCTCCTTGATTAGTTTCCATCCATTGCTTCTTGTCTTACCTTCAGGTGCTTTGGAAAATAGGTTGACCCCCTCTTCTCCGTGTTAGCCCTTAGATATTGGAACACTGCCATCATGTCACCCCTTAGACATACCCAATTTCTGCAACCGTTCTTCACATGCTTTCACCTCCAGTCCCCTAATCATCTTTTTTGCTCTTCTCTGCCCTCTTTCTTGAGTCTCAACATCTTTTTTTTTTAATATTATGGTGACCAAAACTGGATGCAGTACCCTGAAAGGCCCTTCCCATCTGTAGGGTCTCCTGCGTAGATTAGATGACCTATAAGGTCCCTTCCAGCTCTGTTATTCTGTTATATTTCCTGCCATCTATGGTGTCTAGCCATATTTACTCTGATCTCAGTGGGACCTCAACAATCTTCTCACGCCCTCAGTGACTCACCGGCCAAGCATGGCGACTTCCACCCAAGAGTGAAGGGTCTTTGCTCCATCATGTTGGTTGACTTCTTCTAGACACCGGCACCCAAACACAGGAAGAATTCCAGAATGTGTTCTCTGTCACCAGAACCCTGGACTATCAAAGCTGATTGACCAACTCTCCCCTCAGGTGGAAGAAGGGATTTGCTCCTGGCTCCGATCCACAAGTTTTACACTTTCTCCAAGAGAAATCTCCTCCCTTTCTCTGGCGTCATTCCGGCCAAGATGGATGTCAGGATTGAAAAATGGAGACAAAAGCAGGGGGAGAATGGAATGAGGAAGGAAAATGCACACCTGGAACTAGGCATTAGTCTTCCCTTACAGGTGCTGTCCCGGGAGCAAAGAATTCAGAATAGATTTGCATTTCTTTGCAACCCTCAGTCCGGAGACGTGGATTGCAAAGTGGCAGCGATGCCCATCCTGCAGATCTGCTAATGGCGCCATCCATGTAAGATCTGTTTCTCTAATGGGGGGCATGGAGTCCTTGACACTTGCCAGACATTTGTGAAGTGAGTTTTGCTGCCGTTTTATGAGCTTTCTTACCCCAGTTGTTAAGTGATTCATTCCAGTTGTTAAGTTAGTTACACGGTTGACAAGGGAATCTGGCTTCTATTCTATTCTATTCTATTCTATTCTATTCTATTCTATTCTATTCTATTCTATCCCATCCCATATTTTCTATTCTGTTCTGTTCTGTTCTGTTCTGTTCTTTCCTATTCCTATTCCTATTCCTATTCCTATTCCTATTCCTATGTTCCTCCATTCCAGTATTCTACTCTACTCTACTCTACTCTACTCTACTCTACTCTACTCTACTCTACTCTACTCTACTCTACTCTACTCTACTCTACTCTACTCTAGTCTACTCTACTCTACTCTACTCTACTGTACTCTACTCTACTCTACCCTACACTACCCTACCCTACCCTTCCATTCTATTCCTATTCCTATTTCTATAGACTATTTCTATCCCACTCTTCTCTTCTCTTCTCTTCTCTTCTACTCTACTCTACTCTACTCTACTCTACTCTACTCTACTCTACTCTACTCTACTCTACTCTACTCTACTCTACCCTATCCCATCCCTCTATTCTATTCTATTCTATTCTATTCTATTCTATTCTATTCTATTCTATTCTATTCTATTCTATTCTATTCTATTCTACTCTACTCTACTCTACTCTACTCTACTCTACCCTACTCTATTCTACCCTACCCTACCCTTCCATTCCATTCTATTCATATTCCTATTCCTATCCCATTCTTCTCTTCTCTCTTCTCTCTTCTCTCTTCTCTTCTCTTCTCTTCTCTTCTCTTCTCTCTTCTACTCTACTCTACTCTACTCTACTCTACTCTACTCTACTCTACTCTACTCTACTCTACCCTATCCCATCCCTCTATTCTATTCTATTCTATTCTATTCTATTCTATTCTATTCTATTCTATTCTATTCTATTCTATTCTACTCTACTCTACTCTACTCTACTCTACTCTACTCTACCCTACCCTACCCTACCCTACCCTACCATTCCATTCCATTCATATTCCTATTCCTATTCCTATTCCTATTCCTATTCCTATCCCATTCTTCTCTTCTCTTCTCTTCTCTTCTCTTCTCTTCTCTTCTCTTCTCTTCTCTTCTCTTCTCTTCTATTCTATTCTCTTCTATTCTATTCTATTCTTCTTCACCTGATATGAAAAGGAGGCTTACAGGCAAAAGACAAAAACATTAGCCAAGATGTAAAGGACAGCCCTGGGTAGGGTAAAAAAAGTCAAGATGGTGGCTGCAACCACACAACTGAAGCCCCACCCCCTTTTTTACAGCAACCATCCTTTAAGAGGGCCTTGATTATGCATGTCTATGGAAATTCTCCGTCATCCAGGTCACGGCTATCCCAAAGCTGCTTTTCCCAAAGGCAACTGGACTTTCTTGGTTTTTCCTTGAAGACCTTTCGCTTCTCCTCCAGGAAGCTTCTTCAGGTTCTGACTGAAAGGTGGAGAAAGGAAGACTTGACATTCCTTGCAGTCCTTCCATTCTCCGCCATTCAGTCAGAACTTGAAGAAGCTTCTTGGAGGAGAAGCGAAGTGTCTTCAAGGAAAAACTAAAGGAAGTCCAGCTGCCTTTGGGAAAAGCACCTTAGGACTTTGATGATGCAGATGAGGACACCATCTTTATTTGGGGGAAGGGCGTCCTTGTTCCGACGGACACCCTTGCTCTGATGATCCACCAATGCTGCTGTGTTGGAAACCTTCTTGGGATGTAAGATTCTACATTTAGGCAAGAAAAACCAATTGTACAGGTATAGTATAGGGGGTACCTTGCTCAATAGTAGTAACTGTGAGAGGGACCTCGGAGTCCTAGTGGACAATCCCTTAAATAGGAGCCAGCCGTGTGCTGCAGCTGCCAAAAAAGCCAACACAGTGCTAGGCTGCATCAACAGAGGGATAGAATCAAGATCACGTGAAGTATTAATACCACTTTATAATGCCTTGGTAAGGCCACACTTGGAATCCTGCATCCAGTTTTGGTCATCACGATGTAAAAAAGATGCTGAGACTCTAGAAAGAGTACAGAGAAAAGCAACAAAGATGATCAGGGGACTGGAGGCTAAAACATATAAGGAAAGGCTGCTGGAATTGGGTATGTCTAGTTTAACAAAGAGAAGGACGAGGGGGGACATGATAGCAGAATTCCAATATCTCAGGGGCTGCCCCAAAGAAGAGGGAGTCAAGCTATTCTCCAAAGCGCCTGAAGGCAGGACAAGAAGCAACGGATGGAAACTAATCAAGGAGAGAAGCAACCTAGAACTAAGGAGAAACTTCCTGACAGTTAGAACAATTAACCAGTGGAACAACCTGCCTCCAGAAACGGTGAATGCACCAACACTGGAAGTTTTTAAGAAGAAACTGGGCAGCCATTTGTCCGAAATGGTATAGGGTTTCCTGCCTGAGCAGGGGGTTGGACTAGATGACCTCCAAGGTCCCTTCCAACTTTATCATCATCATCATCATCATCATCATCATCATCATCATCATCATCATCATCATCATTATTATTATTATTATTATTATTATTATTATTATTATTATTATTATTATTATTACCTTTATGGATTTGGCATGAGTTTATGGCAGGTGTGATGGGCATTAGATTGCGCCCAACATTCAGGGACAAAAGCGCGCAAATGTTCTCACAGCAATAAAAGCAGAAAGGACAATGACTCTCAAAGCTATTTCCTGAACAGCTGAGGTTCCAAAAAACACCACCTTGGTCCTCTCTCCACAATGCATTTAATTGAACCAGCCAAAGGATTCCTGTGAAGGGGCAACACCATAAAGGGTTCAATTTCTTGGCTAATTAACCCCAAGGAATTTAATTTTGCCCTAAAGAGAACCGACAATTAACAGGATGAATGATTTTTTTTTTCATGGCAGGCTTTGCGAGGACCCCAGCATGAAAGCAATGATACTCCTGGGAAACATAATCAAATAACCTTATTTGCTCACCCCTTGTCCTTCAAGAAAAAGAGCCAAATAGGCAGAGTGGCCCACCAAAAAAGGAAAGTTTTCTATTGCAGTAAATCCTCAACTTACACTCATTCGTTTAGTGACCATTTGAAGTTGCAAAAATGACCACCAGGACAAGTTATGACTGTGGGAAGTCAGCCCCTCCCCCAGAGAAGGAAATATTAAAAGGGCAGGAAAATGTATTTCCTCAAAGGATCTTAAAGAAGCAGAAAAGCATTCCCAGTTTTTTTAATAGCCCCAAGTTTCCCTCCCCCAAACAGAAACCAGCTCTATAGAAATGCAGATGCAGATCAGGAAGGTTGAAGCTAGAAGCTTAGGAAGACAAAGACTCCTAAAATCTACGTACCCTACCCAAACTTTCTTGTTTTTTTTTCTTTGAAAACATTTCGCTTCTCCTCCAAGAAGCTTTTTCAATTCTGAAAAACTGAAGGGAAAAAAAAAACAAAACCAAGGCCAGTTACCTTTTGGAAAAAGCACCTTTGGGACAACTGTGACCTGGATGATTGTGAATATCCATAGACTGTGAAATGAGAGATTTTATTGCTTAAAATGGTGGACAATATATTCCAGTGGTGGCGAACCTATTGCACGGGTGCCAGAGGCGGCCCTCAGAGCCCTCTCTGTGGGCACATGAGCCATGCCCCGGAGATGCCAACTGTCCCTCTTCAACCAGCCGCCCGCTAACTCGCCGAGGTCCCATGTGGCCGGATGCATCCCAGCACCCATGCGCTCGCTGGCCTCCTGTGCGGGGGCCAATGGTGTCAGGCAGCAGCTGCCCAGCCCCTGCCTCACCTTGCCCTGTGACAATGGCACCCCCGCCCTATCTTGCCTTGCCTCACCCCGCAGGACGAGCCTCCTGCCCACCGCCCCACCTGCCAGAGACCCCCTGGATCTCCCCCAACCCTGCCCGCTCCCCACAGGCATCCCTCCCCATGAGGAACATCAAGGTGATCACGCCCACCTTGGCCACACTCACCCAATCTGCCATGACCACCACAGCCATGCCGACCCAGTGGACCACGCCCACCTGGCACCCGGCGATAAATAAGTGGGTTTTGGGTTGCAGTTTGGGCACTTGGGCTCTGAAAGGTTCGCCATCACTGATATATTCCTTCTCTTGCGTATCAGCTAAAGCAGTGGTTCTCAACCTTTTTAATGCCGCGACCCCAACCGATCGTAAGTCGAGGACTAAACCGGTCGTAAGTTGAGGACTAAACCGGTCGTAAGTCGAGGACTAAACCAGTCGTAAGTCAAGGACTACCCAACCGGTCGTAAGTCGAGGACTTTCCCTGCCCGGGAGCACCGCGCATGCGTGGTTCTGCCCCCTGCACCGGCCGAGGCGTAGCTGGCAAGCGGCAGAGACGGAGCAGGCCGACCACCAGCTGGCCCAGCTCAAGGGAGGTAAGGCACCCGCCGGAAAAGGGGGAAAAATGGCGGACAAAAAAAAATGGCGGACAGCCTTGCTTGGCGACCCCCATGAAATGGTCGATCGACCCCAAATGGGGTCCCGACCCACAGGTTGAGAACCACTGAGCTAAAGGAACAATCTTAGAGGTTGATGGCACTTTAGCAGAGATAAGAGACAAGGTTGATTCTTTTGGGGGCAATACTGCCACCTTCTGGTTGTCAACGCTGCTAACATCGGATGTTTTTGCATTGACAACAAATGGAAATGTAGCCATCTTTTTCCCTTTCGCTTTTAGATGATGCTGGAAGGGAGGATGTGAACAACAGTTCAGCTAGACATAGCAACACTAAACCTAGTGTGAGAAACAAGGTTATTGTAACCAGAGCTGATAAGGAATTGGTGGGCTGGAGAACTGGAGAGGAACCCTGCGCTTCAAGCTAATTGGGGAATGTGATTTATGACTGTCAATTGGAGGAGGGAATTGTGCTTTGATACTAAGTGCTCAGGGGAGGGGAATTCAGTTTTTGGCTTCGATTATGCA